TCCTGTACCATCACAGTCCTAGCAATGAACTTGAGATGATTTGCCATGACCTGGGATTTAAGTCTCCACTCTGCAGGACCTAAAAGATGACGGAGAAAGGACATAAAACACACTTTACCAAGAGGCTTATTTGGGATCTGGAAGTGCAGTGCTCAGTGACACAGGAGACGGGGCACGTGGAAGTTTCATATCCTAGAAAGTACACGCAAATTGTTATCAAGATTCCCCCGTTCTCTTTCCTAATACGAACACTAGCATAGAGGAAAGAGATGGTAGCAGCGCGTGATCACGAAATCTTGCGTTGCAGTGCACCGAAGGACAGGAGTAGCAAGGACGCGCCGCACAGGGCCCCGACTATCGCACACAAACCCAAAAGGGTTTGGGCTGGGAGTTGGGAAAGGAGTCTCTGTCGGTCTTTAGAAAAGGAGGTAACAGCGCGCAAACTTGCCCTCCCGCCATGACCACCCAGCTTTTCCCCAACCCGCACAAAATCCTCAACCCGCGCGCTCAGTACCCAGCGAACTCACAGCCTTCTCGCAACCGGAAGCGGAAACTACGGAATCCCTGCGGCGTGTAATTGAAGCCGGGACTAATGGGAGAGAACAGTGCGTGGAAACCATGGCAACGGTCTTTCTGGCCGCCTCCCCTAAATCCCTCCACCGGCCTCTACACCTGACAAAGCAAAATATTCCTTGACTTAAATTCCTCCGAAACAGGTTCCTCGCCTTCTCATGGAATCGTAGTCCTGCAGCCCCTGGGAAGGTCAGCCCAATTTCACACCTCTCAATGCTAAACCCCTAAGAGATACTCAAGCCATGTCTCTTTCTAGATGGAGAACGTGAGAAATAGGGGAAGCTTCTTGTTTTCTCTGCGGAAAGGACAGACTCTTTGAGATCTGCTCTCTGGACAAAAACAGCTTCACACCCATAATCTGCTTAAAAACTAAGGAAAGAAACAAAATGAACAGAGACTTTCCTACATCATCTTTCCAGCCATTTTACGAAATAAAGGAAAATCCCTGAATAAAAATATGGAAGGCCAGCAGCGGTGGCTCACGCCTGTAATCCTAACACTTTAGGAGGCCCAGACGGGAGGGTCGCTCGAGGCCAGGAATTTGTGATCAGCCTGAGAAACAGAGCGAGATCCCGTCTCTACCAAAAACAGAAAAATAAGCCGGGCGTGGTGGTGAGCACCTGTAGTCCCAGCTACTCCTCAGGCTAAGGCGGGAGGATCGCTTGAGCCCAGGAGTTTGAGGCTGCAGTGAGCTGCGGTGGCTTCACCATAGCTCACAGAATGAAACCCTATCTTAAAAAAAAAATGATATGGGAAACAGCTGCAGGATTTAAAATCAACAACTCTTTTATGTGCGCTTCTATGCCATTTGCCTCCTAGTTAGACCTGATGGAAATATTTCCTTTTTAATTTCTTCTTCCCTGCGGAGACAACCGTCCTTTTATTTGTATGCTTGCTTCTACATATCCATGTATGGTTATTCACTTAAGTACAGGTTTAATGGCTATGGAAAAATGTACCTCCCCTATAGCTTGTGTGCTCGTGTGCATACACACACCCCCTCATCAGTTATGCTAATAGGAACTCACATAAAAACTTAAGCCCACTTCAGAGCAAGCCAGGTCCAAAGTACCAAAAGAGAACTAGACTGGGACATCATTGTGCTTATCAACAAATTTTTATTGAATGCCTACTCTGTGCAAGGTACTGTTGATACCATTCCAGTGCCTCTTGGACCATTAGAAGACATTATGTAGACATAACAGATAAATAGTAAAACAAGGTAGCATACAATAAATGCAAAATAAATTATATAGGCTACAGCGTAATATGGTGGAAAGGCACTGGATTAGAAGTCAGAAGGTCTGGATCCTACCTGAATTCTGATGCTCATCAGACATATGACCTTGAACAAATCACATAAAACCAGGGGTCTGCAAATTACTGCCTGCAGGTCAGATCCAGCTCCACCTGTTTTTGTAAAACTATTGGAACACAGCCATGCTGATTTGTTTATGTATTAGGTATGGCTGCTTTGGGCCACAATGACAGAGTTGGGTAGTTGCAATAGACATGTATAGCCATTAGCCTACAAAGCCTACAATACTTACTATCTGGCCCTTGTCAAATTTAAATTCCATCTATTTCCTCATCTCTAAAATGGGACAAATATCTGCCCTGTCAGTCTCACAGAATCTGTCTTGGGAATAAAATGGGGTAAAATATAAAGATACTTTGAAAGAAAGGAAGGGGAAAAGCAGTATTTTTGAGAGCCTACAGTATACCAAATCCTGTACTAGGTGTTTTATATACGTGATCCCATTTGATGGAGTAAAGGGCCAAACACAGCCTATATATCACGCTGAACAGAAAGAATGACAGAGATGAACTTAAGTCAGTCATTGAAAGAGGGTAGGATTTAGATAACAGAAGCAGGAAAGGCTGGGCAAGATGAACAGCATGAACAAGAGCTTAGAGGCAAAAAGATGTACAGTGTTTGGGGGTGAATAAAAAAACTGCAACAGAAGGATAATGCAGGCGAGCAGAGCGAGAAACAGAGAACTTGATTGAAGATTTTGGATTTCCTTCTCAAAGCACTGGGGAGCCACTGAAGGATTTGAATAGGGAATGACATGCAAAGCACTGTTCTGGGAAAATTAATCTGGTTGTTAGTGAGAAGGGATTAAAGGTAAGAGAGATCATTGCTATAAGTCTAGATCAGCATGGTGGCAATGGAATGGATAGGAAGAAATGAATTTTTTTTTTTTTTTGAGACAGAGTCTCACTCTCTTGCCCTGGCTAGAGTGAGTGCCGTGGCATCAGCCTAGCTCACAGCAACCTCACACTCCTGGGCTCAAGCAATCCTTCTGCCTCAGCCTCCAGAGTAGCTGGGACTACAGGCATGCGCCACCATGCCCAGCTAATTTTTTCTATATATATATTTTTAGTTGTCCAGATAATTTCTTTCTATTTTTAGTAGAGACAGGGTATCGCTCTTGCTCAGGCTGGTCTTGAACTCCTGACCTTGAGCGATCCACCTGCCTCGGCCTCCCAGAGTGCTAGGATTACAGGCGTGAGCCACTGTGCCCAGCCCGGAAGAAATGAATTTTAAGTGACATTCCAAATAAAAAATAAAAAGGAACTGATGACCAAATGGCACCAAGTTTTAAGCCTAATTATCTGTAAAAATGGTAGCACCATAAGTAGCACTAACAGAAGAGGAGAATGTAAAAAGGAAATTTGATTGGTGATCACTGGAAAACATACCAAACTGGAAACCAAGAGTTCTGTACCATACATTGTGTTGTCTTGGACAAGTCACCTAAGTTTCCTTATCTATAAAATGAGGAGGTTGAGTTGAATTAGATATACAAAATGTACATCTTGGCTCTAAAATGATGAAATTTTTGATAATTTTTAAGTGTCAGCAACATATAAATAAAAGTGTCCAGCAGAAATGTAAACATTCAGTATGCCATCTCAGGGGAAAGGCTGGGATTGAAGATGAAGCTTTAGCAGTCTTCTAAGTTGAAGCAATAATTAAAGCCATGAAAGAAGAGGAAAGCTTTACTTGAAAGAATGTAGTCAGAGAAAAGGGCCAAGGCCTGAGCCTAGGGAAACACCCACACTCGGGAAGGTGAAAGCAGAACCATTGAGAGATCCAGGAGTTGCTGCCAGATAGGTAAGAGGAGAATTAGGATAGTGTGCTATCCTAACTGAAACAGGAGTTTCAATAGGCAGCATCAAGAGTATCAAAGGATACAAAAAGCATTATGTACATAGCCTTTGTAAAATGTTTAGTTGTTGATTAGGTGGGAATTACATTATAATACTGATTCAGTGGGTGCATTAGTGACTTCAGAAGGTGCAACAAAGTGAAAGCAGTGGAAGCTAGGCTGTAAGGGGTTGAGAATTGAGTGATAAGAAGGAATCAGAAAGATTAGACTACTCTGTCAAGACTTATGGAGAAAAGAAGAGAAAGAGGACAATCAGGCTCCAAAGATGTTTTTAAGGAGGGGGGATCTGATAATACTTGTGGAAGAAATAAGTTATTATGGGGAATAAATTCAACAAGAGGAGATATGTGATACAGCAAAGTTCTAGAGGTAGAAGGTAATCAAAAGCAAGAATGGAGAGGTTTGCCTTAGAAAGGTCATATTCTCTGAAATAAAGGGAGGCAATTATTCACTGAGAACAGAAGACTCGAGAAATGGGGAAAAGATGTGTAAGTTGCTATGAGAAACATGTTAAGGAGCCAATAAGCAATGACTAAGATGACAGAATAGCCTGATACTCTATACAGAGGCTTAGGATGAGAGAGGAAATGGTTTTGGTGGAAAGTGGGACAAATCAGCAAGAGAGTAACACAGAGAGAACGGTAGAGATAGATTCATGAACTTCATTTTTGCCTCCTTACAATACTGAGTAGCCTTCCTTAGTCTAGCATACATCTAGCAGCTGCAGCTTTTTGAGTAAGAATGAGGCCCAGTGTCTGAAGGGTCCTCCCACTCTGAAAATCCTGAGAGAGCCCCTCCCTCTTCAAAACTGGCAACCACAATGGCTGTTTTGGCCTTTGTGCCCCTCCTCTGGCAGCAGAAGGTTACATATGCATTTACTCACTGGCATCAACAGCTCCCATCAGACAAAGAGTCATCCCAGAGCAGAAGAACCTGCTAGTCTGGGCCAGCTGGAAGATTACATGTGCGAGACACACAAAGGGAAAGGTACTCGTCTCTAAGTCTGAACAAAAATAAATAAATAAATAAACAAACCCAACTCTGAACCCTGTAACTTGTCCCCAAAGGTGTTCCCTGGGAAAGCAGAAGCAGAGAGTCCCTTTTCCTCTCTCTTATATTGTCCCACCCAGACTCTAACTTGGTGGAGCACATGTTCACAAACATTCCCATCCCTTTTCTTTTCTGCAGCTCAGAGGATAAAGACCGGTATTTGAGGCAGAAAGTTTTCAACTTCCTCCAGTCAGCAAACTGTTTAGGTAAAAAAATTCTTTAATTAGAAAGGATTTATCTTCCCTCAACACGGGTGCACACATTAAAAGTAAAAATACATATATACATAAATATTCACACAAATTAGAAACCACAGAGGACAGTTGCATGCCCTGGGTTAGAGGTTGAGAAGATGGGCATCAGAAGCACCTGGAGGATGGCTTCTCATCTGCTGTTCTAGTTGTCCTATGGTCATCTCTCTGGCCATGGTGGGTAGACTGGGAGGGGAGAGGGTACAGCTCCAGTCTGATGGCATGGTTACTGGCAAACTGTAGCAACGAGGGCCCTCTCTAGATAGTTTCTTAGTATCACTAGAGATGACAGGAGATGCTGTAGTAGGTGGAACCGGAGTGGTTGGGGTAGAGTGGGTGACAGGCTGCACTCCATGTTGGACGAAAAGGATGACGCCAATGCTGGTTCCAGTGCCTAAAGGACCATGGCTAAAAGAGATGGTACCTGGGGAACTGAGAGGGGGGTTGCAAATAGGAGTGGTGTGGATCCAGGTAAGGTTCATAGCTGGCCATTCTGTGAGGTGCCAAGGCTGCTCTGGTTTCAACAGTACATGTCCTAGCTGTGTCTGGCTCATCTTTTCCACAGGCGATATAGGAGAGGAAGCAACTGAATCACTATGGTGGCTTGGAAAATGCTAGAGAGGGGAGAAATGAGAAAAAAAATGTGGAGAAAGCTTTCACATTAGCTCTACCAGATTACTTAAACCTTTACTTTCCTTAGGAACTCAGTTTGCAATGCAAACATACCTTGTTTTATGCAACCGATACGTTCTTGCCAGGCCATAATTAAGTAAAATTTTTAGCAATGAAATTGTACTTTCATTTATTCAACAAACAGTTGAGGACCTACTATGTACCACAGACTACATTAGATACTGGATATCCGAAGATGAACAAATAAACAGCACCATATATTCTCATTATTTATAAAATAATTATTTTTAGAATTTCTTTAAAGAAAAGGCTATTTTTATTGGAATTATCATTTCCCAATTTCTGCATTTCAAATTCTAATTTTCTATGTTGAGTTCTTTAAGAAGTATAAATTAATATGCAGGCAAGATTCTGCTGCTTATTTTTTAATCAATTATTTTCATAGCAATAATAACCACAGTTGATTGAAAACAAGGACTGGCAATTATCCACAGGAGACTCTCCCCTCCCCATCATTTGAATGTCCTCTTAATACCTTATTATTTGAAAGCACATAAAATAGGTCACTTCTACACCAGGTCTAAGAATCTATTGAATACTCCCCCATGGGTGCCCCATGGGTGCCCTCTCCCCTACTCCCAGTGGGGTACCTCTTATGACCAGTCCTTGAAACCTCGTGTAGACTCAAAGGCTTCCAGAGAGTTTGGTACTAGGATACTCGGACAGGAGTGAAAAGAGGGAGACAGGAAGGGTTTAGGGGGATCAGGAAAGAAAGGATTTGCAGAGAGAAGCTGAGGCATCTCCCTACACGAATCATTTAGCCAAGTAAAATGCCTTCCGTATCTACGAAGAAAGCAGATAAGCTAAAACATGAGGGATAGGATTAAACTTCATAGAGTTCTTCCCAGTGATCCAAACAAAACAGAACAAAAACATCTAGAAATCAAGACAATGCAGGAAGTTTAGGCATTCCCTTCCCTGAATAGAAACTTGGGGAAAGGACCCAGAAGAAAATGGAATGGGGAGTCCATTTCTGCATGTACATTTCATTTCCTTGATTGTTTTCCCACCTCTTCCCCAGGTTTTTAAGTTCTTACCTTGGTGAGCTGATGCCTGCTACCACCCAATGATGTCTTCTGGGCAGCTATATGAGGAAACCAAGTCTTTAACATCCCTTCTACCTGTAGCAGGGTTCCTAGGTAACGTTCCCTGTGAAAAAGACATTTTTTTTTAAAAAGCCATTAGGTATGAAAAAAGAAACAAAACAAAGTATGAAAAAGAAATAATACATAAAAAGGAGAGATCTTCTTTTTATTACGTCCTGAGGAAAGAGCTAGGGGGACTTACCCCATCTGTGGCTTCTGCAAAACACCTACAATACGCTGGATCCTGTCCATTGCCACACTCTGCTGGAAACTGCTCAATCCTGGAGTCAGGGAAAGACAAAGATCAAGGATTTAGCTTCAAGCATGTAGTCAGGTAAAGGAAGGACAGAAGGGGCTTAAAACTGATTCACCTAAGAAATTAGGTCATGCAAAAAAGGAATAATCTAGGCCCTACTCAAAAACTTAAGAGAAATACACATTCAACAGAAAGGAAGAGAAAGAGAAACAAACTTAGCCCAAACAAACACAACTAATCAGAAAATTACCTCTCTCAAAACGACCCATCTTCAGCCCATTCAGTAGGTCTGTGAGAGGGGGTATATATCCTTGGAGTTCTTTACACTGAAGGAAAACAGGACAAAGGCTATAAGAAGACCAAGAATTGCCCACACTAATGGTGATTCTTCCTCCATCTCCAAATCTGGGAGGCACTACTATCCTTATTGATTCCTTATTAACCAGCTGGGTGCTAAGCCACTCCAGAAGTGTCTCCTTTCTCCTGCTGTCTCTTACCTTCTGAGCAAATAGCAGGTCTCCCTCTGTAGTACAACCCTGGATGTTTAGACTGGTCTCCAATTCACCATTTCTTGATCTTTTGACCCCAGATCCTGCCATAGGAGAAGCCAAGCCCCGCCGTTCCGGGTGAGATGCTGTATGATGGTGACTGGAAACCTTGGATCGGTGCCTGCAGCGGATAGGACCCGGACTGGGCCGTGAACCTCCCCTCTGCCCAACAGTGTCTGGCCTGGGCCCGTGGGCCCCCTTGTCCTCCCTCTCACTATCAGAGGGGAAGCCAAAGTCACTGTTCACTGGGGAGGTGGAAAAAGAGGAAGAGAGAGAGTAGGAGGAATAGGAAGAAACGCTAGATGGAGAATCCATAGGTCCAGAAGCAGGGGCTGGAGAGCAGCTCCTGGAGTACCCAAAGATTGGAACCTGCAACTGAAGAGCAAAGCGAAGTAGTTTGAAACCAAAGTCTAAGGATTAGGAAATGGACTGGGAGACTGGGGTGTACTGCACAGGTATTACCTCTTCTCCTCCTCCCCAATATTACCTGTCTCAGAGACAAAAGAAAAACTCATCTCCCCCACCCCCGCCCATTAGGAAACTGGGACTGCTTCTCTGGCCTCCGTTCTTTTCTTCCCTCAGTTCAGAGTAAATACCTGACTTGAATGACACCTTTCCCCTCGGCCCGTTGTTCGCCTGGGCTGCTTCCCAACCTGATCCCGCAGCAAGCCTCTCCACCTGAGGCCACGCCATGAGCAAGCAGTAAATCTGGGCACCCAACCCACCTAGTGACCCCACCGCAACCACCCCCACAGAAACAGGCCTCCTGCCCTTTCCCAATCTTTTAAGATCAGGATCCCTGCGCCGATCCCGCTCAGGTCGTGCCTGACACATGATGCAATCCCTCCCAATACCAAGATCTGGGTTCAGTCCCCAGATCCACTCCCTTTGGGTCCAGACCTCCCTAGCAGTTCGCTTTGTCCTTACCTGTGCCGGTCGGTTCAGCGTAGACTCTGCCTCCAGCTCTGTCTCAGTCTCTCCGGGTCTCGGCTACCCACCTCCGCTTCTTTCTCAGTCGGTCCCGCCCCTTCCCCCTCCCAGACACGTGCGGCTCGGCACGTGCCCTGCGTACACAGATCTCGCGCCCTCATTGGTTGTCTAGCCGGTAACGTATGACTCTCGTTACTGAAATCCACAGCCTATTTGCTACAGTACAAAGGGGCTCAGCCAATAGAGAGGCCTCCAGCTGATGATTGGCTGGAAGGGAAGCCTTCCGTGCTCCGCCCCTACATGCGGCTCCTGGAGAGGACCCGGTGATGAGAAAAGGAGGAGGATGGAAAAAGAGTGGAAAAGAAGGGAGGGGAGGAAAAAGGGCGGAGTCCAAGGCCTTAACTAGAATGATGATGCGCCAGACACGCGCGGCTTGAGTGTTGAGATTCGTTGTGCGACTGGAGGTGCACGCCTTGGGTCGTGGGACCCACCCCCCTCGACCCCCCCACCCCCGCTTCCTCCTTTGGAGCCAACCCTTCCTCCCCCTCTTAGAGCGCGTCTGCTCACGAGCGCAGCACATGGAAACCATCAGCGACTTGTGTCTGCAACGTGTATTAAAGAATGCATGTGTGATACTGTGTATTCTCTCCTTTTCTCGGCAGCCCAGCCCTCGTGACTCCCCGGTCTCTGTTTCACCCTCCTCTTCTCTCTCCCCTCCAAGTTGGGTGCCTCCTGCCCTGCTGGGTGAGGAGGGTGGGGAGCTCGGCCGAGAACACCGCGTCCTCTCTCAGGCTCCCGCTGGGGCGGCTCCTCCAGCCCTTTCCTTACATAACCTACCACGCACGTTACCAGCTCAGATGCCACCCCGCCACGGCTCTAGAGGTCAAAGCTGAACTCAGTTGTTCTTGACT